TGGGAACAGATCGAATTGAAAATTAAAGAACTAAGTGGATTTACGGCCAGGCTACCTGTCTCCCTTAGCGAGGGATGTCCTTAGACGCCGAAGAAATGTGAACTGAGTCATTGAAGCCGGTGAGATGGGTCGATCATCCGCGGAAGCTTCTTAAGAAATGTACTAATGAAACACCTTTTTTCGTGACAGAAAGTAGAAACAGGTAGAAATCAAAACCAAGAAAAATAAAAAGGCCGCTCTTGGTGGCCGTTGCAAAGTTTTGAGGTTGCTGGACACCTTACACTTCTACTGTTGATACAACGTGAGCAGCACTCACTATCGGACGCTTCTGACTTCCTCGTGGAACAACCCAATGTGGCTGAAGCTACCTTCTCCTCCATCGCGGCTTCTCGTTTCGAGGAAACGTCATCGGCACTGACCATCCTCACAAATCGTTGGAGCACAGAAAGTCTTAACAATAACAATGATATCGTATTTCTTATGGAAGTCTCAGCACTGACTACTTACTTTTTTGGTGGTTTGCTTTTGCGGGAAGACGTTCCGGAAAACAGTGAGCTAGTAGGACTTTCACTTCTTCCTGCCGTATAAGTATTGAACTGAAAAAAAATAAAATTTAAGGTGCTTGAAATAGCACAAATTGGATCAATGAGTCGCGTTAAAACTTTGTCGCCTGGGAGAGCATCAATTGGCGCATCGGGAGAAGTAGAAGTCTGACAAGTAACCATGCGAACCTCCCAAGACATCGGATCGCCGATTTTTCTTTTCTCTCAGGTCGCCAACTCGATACCTTTGAATTCGTTGACGCATGCCCTTCCAAAAGGTTCAATCGCTGATTTTCGCATACTCCCGAGTCTTAAAGTATGAATGCGACCTTAGGAAACGCTACAGAATCATTATGTGTTCAAACGAATGCAATCCTGGATCAAGCAAATGCACGGCATTCATAGGACCAGTGTCGTCTAAAAGCTTGAGATTGCGATGCGTAAAAAGTCTCAACGGGATATGAATTCCAGCTAGAGACGCAGCTGTGCACTAAGGAAGAAACTGTGGCCACAGTCAGCGTTTTTGCACTTCCTGTCAATCTCTGAACAGTGAGATCTTGCATGAAGTTGAGAGACATGCACCTCGAGCTCCACGTACAAGGTCATCCTTGCATGTCCGAGATATTGGTTCAGTGGCGGAATCCAGTGTAGCTTAGCAGCTATACTATCCGATAGATTTCACATTGAAGGAACGTATGTACACGAATGCTGAACTGTTTGGGACGGCAGGTTTAGCTTGCTCTGGACTTAACCAGGCTGTGACAAAGACGAAGAAGCGTAAATTAGCGAATATGAAGTTCCTCATCCCAGCCGAGCTTGAAAATAGTGCGTCAGTATCCAAAAAAGCATGAAAAATGCGCAAATTGTTTCTTGACAACCGGTGATTCTATCAAAGAGCAAAGCGACAAGTTCAAATGATTAGGTGGTTACAGATGTCGTTGAATAAATACCCTATAAACCTACACTCCGCTTCTCAATTAAAGGCAAATCGTCCTCATCGGTCGACACGGATTCAGCATCGGTCGCTTCGGGCGGTTCGGCAAAAGCAACCTGGAAATGAAATACTCTGAGAATGCCCTTGAAACAGCAAACTCTGTCCCTAGCATTCATCTGCATCCAAAACTCCACTACTTTACATCAATCTAACGAGAGACCTTCATGTCTTTCGCCGATGGTGAAGGGGAGAATTCATGAAAAGGATTATATATGAGTCGATTTCACCTTTTCTGCACAAATACTGGGAGTGTGCCACTGCGCCACACCGTTCTCTGCCAGTTGTTGAAGCGGGTACGCGACACATCTGATAGAAGACGAGTGATAAGAACGATGCGATAGTCTCGGCACTTGCTCTCTTCAATAACTGGTGTAGAACGGGTCTGGCACCAAGCTCATACCGCCTGACACGCCCTTTCGTCCGCAGCAAACTAGACTATAATTCTATTTGCTGTTAACCTACAGTCCTCATCATTGCGGACCGGTGGGGCGTGTCAGTGCGGCTGCGTTTGGCGCGGTGCCAAAGTCGTTCTGCACCAGTTGTTGAAGCGGGCAAGTGACATTACTGTATTATATCCTTCGTATTACTCGTTTTCTACCACTTTTTGTCGCATACGCGTTTCAACAAAAAGGCTGAGAACGGCTTCAACAGTGTGCACACATACTGGCTGACACGCCCGCCCCGCCGGTCGCGCAATGATGAGCGACTGTACTCAACTAGGGAAGGTCCGTCAGTGAAGTGCAATTTTGTTGGAGATGTAGATCACTGGACGTTGTTCTGAACGCCTAATCCTTGAATCTGACCTTCAAAAGCTGCAAGATGATTCTCTGAAACAGGGTATGTAGCCGCGTGTTACCGCAACAGGCCATGGGATCGATCCTGCCTGAGCTTAACTTTTTGCTTGTTGCGAGCAAAAACGTGCAAAAGTGATAGAAGCATTGTAGTGCACTGTAGTCTAAAAGGAGTCCAAGCGCAGTAATAAATAGAGGCAAACTGTTCTTCAGACAAGCTCAAGATGAGAACTGAAGTATATGACGGCCAAAATCACTTTTTGCCACGTTTGCGCAACAAGCAAAAAAGTTACGCCCAGCAGGAATCCGATCCATGATCTGTTGCGTGGTAAACGCGTCTTCATAAAACTCCGTTCAGAGAATGGCTTTGCAAATTTTGAAGGCATATTCAAGATCAGCGTCCACATCACGTCCGTACACACAACCAAGTGATCTAGTGATCTACATCTCATCACAACAATGACACTTGCGATCCTGACGACTCCCATAAGTTAGGGCGAGCAAATAATCGATGATTCTTCTTTCGTATTTCTCAGCTCCTCGAACAGTGATGAAGTGAAAAATGCAGAGAAACGCTAGTAAATTACTGACGTTCACTCATCTCACTTGTACATTTGGGTTTTTGGATAGAAGGAAAGAAGGATAAGGCAGGGATTATTAGGCAACACTGATGGGTTTCCCTATAAGAACCATTCCACTCGACAATTCTAGAGTTCACAAAAATGGGAAAGCTCATAGATAAGCTCACTAAAAGCTGGCGCTCAACAAATGCACTCATTTGATGGTGCACGACCCATCTTTGCTGCGTTTCCACTGGATACATGGCTCATTTGGGATTATATACAGCTACACAAGAAATGGACCACTTCCTCCAGATCGGCATTCATTCGTTGACCCTTGTCTCAGAAACCCTCATTAGGCCCATTCACTCACGACGGCTTTGAATGAATGTCAAACCTGCAGATAAAGGGGGCGGGAGACATACGCATCGATTCGCCAATCGATACGAAAAATCGAGAAACAAAGGCGTCTTGTGAACTGACGAAATGCAGAAAATATGGAAATCAAAGACGAAGGATCCCATGGAGATTGATCAAGCCTCGCCCGGTGTGGCGCTTTGCAAGAAATGTGAAACCCGGAATTTTGGCATTTATCCATCATTATTCGCAAAATCGGAATTTCTTCTCGTACATGAGCCTTAGCCTTAGTATTGCTGAGCCCACAGGCAAAAGACCTACCGTTGATCCATGGTGATGACGATTGAACATTCGCAGATTCGTATCCTCATGACTACCATCTAGTGAAATGTTTGAGAGGAAGTTATGGGCAACTACCAGATGATAATCGCCCATACCAGATTTCATCTTAAGTGTCGTTCATGCAATGTCGAAATCCAATATTTTAGATCATTTTTGAGGACGTATTCTAGAAGTGAGTATGGTATACACATTTTACACAAGAACAACTCAGCATTAATGTTTATCAACTTATAATAACAGATAGTTTCACAAAGGAAATTAAACTGAAAAACCTTGGAATATTTTCAGAGGGAGCTATAGGAACCTTACGAAAACTTCAACAGCGACAATGCCAGATTCGTAATACGACTCACAACACCTGCAGTAACACACCAAAATATGTTTGTGAATTTCAACAAACAACATAACTAATTTAAACCACAACTTGGTAACAAAAGAAAAGAAAATTCAAAGTAATGGGCTGTAAATGATGGGAGTGTATTCACTTCTTAGCGAGAGCGGGATGAAGAACGCGATGACGAACGGCTGCGCTTGCGGTCACGAGATCTTGAGCGCGAGCGACTGCGGGAACGTGATTTCCTGCAATGCAATGAAATTATGAAAAGGCAAACACTGAATGGCTACGAAGCAGGAACAAACTTACCTCGACGTACGAATAGGGCTCTTAGTGATGCTCCTTCTGCGGCTAAAATATCAAAAATCAACTACGGAACCAGTAAACAGTAGGTGCTTTCGCTCTCATCGCATGCTTGCAAACTGTACGCGCTCTTTCAGATATGTGTATGTGTGTGCGTGCGTGGCATCACCCCTGCCACATCAAGCCACCTACTAACATACCTTCGATTAATGCGAGCTACTTCCTGCACCACACCATACCAATATCCATACAGTGGGTGATTTCATCAACCAACAACCATTATCGAATGGCGATCAATGCAGCTTCTATCTCCGCCGCAACCAAAATCCATCATGAACTTCTAAGACGCAACGCGACCATACGCGCAGCGTCCGATTTCCCACACAACATCACCACCATCCAAAACATCAAGACCAATGCTAAAAAGTACACCAGACTGTACTGATGAAAGCCCGCAAACGCCAAAGAAGGCGAATGGGAAAGGATTACTTGACGGCATATGTGCTACATCCAATTCGAATGTGCACTAGTTATTGTGCTACCTAGAGACAAAATCCGGTCAAATCCTGTCCTACAGGGATTTTTCACTGAGACCGTTACAAATGTACTATTGAACACCATGACAAATCCCATCCCAGTCATAGTCTCGATCCCTGCGAACGAAGGGGCGTGTCAGGCAGGAGGAGTTTCGTGCGGTGTCAAAGCAATTTTCATCAGCTGCTGAAGCGAGCAAATGACAAGACTGTATCATATCGTCGTATCACTCGTTTTCTACCAATCCTTGTCGACACAGCTGGCAGAGAAAGGATCTGAAGCCGCGACACACTCATACTGCCTGGCACTCCCCTTCATACATCCTAACTGGAGTACAAACTATTTTGGATGCTTTTCGGCGTATAACTATGAATTCAGAAAGTGATGGCTGAACTCGCTAATCACAAATTGTATGCATGGAGTTATACCACGGTCACCAACGCCATGATGTTGTTCACATGAACCCCGGGAAGAAGTTGACATACTCGATTGAATAACTATGACATAAATTCTATTCCACTGATGTTCTCTCTATTGAGCGAGAGTCGTGAATCCTAGATTTGACCGGACATTGTTCTCTTTAGCTTCATTACAGGAATGTACAATTTATCGAAACTTTAACGGATAAGGTGGCGTCGCTGAAACTGTGTTGGAATGTGACAGATATCCCTGATACTTTGTGATGCTACAACCATCCGTGCTTCCTCAGCGCATAAGGCAGGCATTCAGTTGGGAGTACAAGACCATCGAGTCATACCATATTTCTAAAGTCAAAATTGGAGTAAACTGAGGCTGAGTTGAATGTTATATTAGCTATGAAGGTTTAATATGAGATCAAGTACTGCTCATTCGTGCGAACTTGTTTCCACAAAAAAGCACCCATGCAAAAAGCACCACAACATCAGCACTTAACACCAGTACATAACACATTACGGCAGAACCCAAAGCTCAAGTTCAGTACACAAGTGCAGTGTTTGGTAGCAGATGTCCCTGAAGTAGATCCGAGCGGGCACAGACAACTACGTTGAGAAACCTCACCTCATAGCGCCGTCATCTATCCTCAGATTTATCACTACTGCCGATGCTTCCAGGTACTATACTATGCACTAATCACGTGCTAAATGCTTCCAGGTTCTACACTATGCAGAGACCACTGACACACGGTACTTCGAAGGAGCTCTCTCCGTTGAATAATGAAATAGGCAGGGCTTAGCCGGGTCCGAATATCAAACTAAGATGAAGTGCAAGACAACGTGATGTTATGAAAGTCGTACATTGGCATTCTGTTCGCAGCATGCGCTGAAAATCCCTCGATCGTTTCAT